CCTCGCCACCACGAAGTTGCGAAAGATCGGCGTCCAGGGCTGGGTGGCCGTAATACCTCAGCTGTGCAGCCCGTGGAACGGGCTGGGCCGCGCGCGGGCGAATCGGCGGCGGCTCGGCCGAGAGCGGGCGGGGCCGCAGGACGGCCGTGGCGAGGGCTGATTATCTCTCTCTCTCTCTCTCTCTCTCTCGCTCTGCCCCTTATCATTATGTTGCTCCCATCGTACTCAAGGACCGCATCCCAGAAACAATTTCGGGCACCCAGAAGAAGTGTCGAAACAGTGTCGAACGCGTGTCGCCTCCCAGGGCCCGGCTCGCGAGAACCCTCAAGTTTTGGTATTTTCTATGCGCTCGATTTTTTCTGGTGCCCCAGGCTACAGTAGGTTGAAACAGCATAACCTTATCCCCGATCAGTAGCGTGCGACCCTCGTCTTCGTCGTCGTCGCTCCAGAAGGCAAGATTCGTCCCCCGCGATTTTTCAGTTGCTGACCCTGTGATGGCCTCGTGCACGATCCGAGCCGCCACGGCTGGATCTACCCCGAATGCCTGGTCCGAATTTTTTGTTTGATCGGCGGATCGAGAACGAGCCTCTTCCGGTCGAAGCTAAGCGGGCCGCGCGCAGCTTTAATTGACAGAGAGGGGAAGACAGAAAGAGGGGCCCCACGCCAAGGCCAAGAGAGGGCAAAGCCCCGGAATCACGCGGCGCCGAAAGCGAAGTGCACGCAAAGGAACGCCTGGCACAAGAACCCGGAGGCGAAGTACCAAAAGAGCAAAATGCTGCGGTGGTGGTGCCGTCAGCGGCGCTTCATGCACACCAGCCTCGAGTGACCGCGGGAGAGGACGCACCACGCATCCAGGGCGACGCCCGAGAGGGTGAGGAGCACCGCTGGGCCGGAGTGCAACGTTGTGCCACCGAACAGGATGCAGGAGAGACCCAGGCCGTGGTAGTCCAAGGTGCCACGCGCACAGGGAAAGAGAACCGCAGTCCGAGGCGCGGCTGTCAGGTCAAGCCAGGAACATGCCGCCCATGACCGACAGGGTGCCGGTGTGCTGCAGGGAGGACGCCTGCCCCGCAGTGGCGAGCGCGTGGGATTGGGCCGAAGCCGCGCACGTTGCGCTGCCGTTCCGCGGTGCCCAGGGCGGGGCCGAAGTCGCGCTGCGCCCAAGACCGCGGGGCCGCCGAGACGGCAAGGTGCGAGCGCCTGGCACCGGGCCGAAGCCGCGCTGTGCAGGGCACTGCCGCCATGGGAGGGGGGTAGCGAGCGGGGAGGGGGAAGCGGGCAGGGAGGAGAAGGGCCGGCCCGGCGGGCCAGCCGTCGCCAGGGCAGCCCCGCGCCAGCAGCTGAGCGTAGCGCCAGTGCTGGTGGCAGGGAGATCCTGCGGAATCAGGGGGGGACAAACGGTCCCAAATTCAGGTAAAGGAGGGGGGAGGGAGGTGGAAGGGCAAGTCGCCGAAGGCGTCGACCAGGCCGTACTCGAAGAGAACGCCGTGATGCCAGGGCCAGGGGGGGCGGACCGGGCGAGGTGCTGGTGGCAGGGAGATCCTGCGGAATCAGGGGGGACTAACGGTCCCATATTCGGGTAAAGGAGGGGGTAGGGAGGGGGAGGGCAAGCTGCCGAAGGCGCCGACCAGGCCGTACTCGAGGAGAACGCCGCGGTGCCAGAGCCAGGAGGGGCGGTTCGGGCGAGGTGCCCGGGAGGATCGTGCGAGGCGCTGCTGTGCGTCAGCGCTTGGGCGCTGTACCCCGTGTCAGTGTCCTTTCGGAACGCGTAGCGGGCCTTCCCCGCGCCCGTTGTGGATGGTCATACCCAGGTGCCGCTGGATTCCTGCTGCAGGGCACTTGCAGTCCCAGTCGATATCGCAAGTGGTGCGGGATCAGGAGGGACTAACCGTCCCAAAATCAGGTGTGGAGGAGGAGGGGAGAGGGGGAAGACAGGGTAGGGCGCTGTGGGCGGCGACGCACTGGTCGTACCCGGAGTACAGCGCCAAAAGGCCTGCTAGGGACAGGAGGGGCGGTGGTACGGCACCCTGTGCGGCGTCGTCAGGGGGAGAGTTCAGGGCAGGTCAGCGCCTGGGGCGCTTGCCTGGTCAGAACACGCTCCAGGACAGATCGCCGGGAGCTGGTTTTGAAGAGGAGTCAATCGCCTCGTCGTCATCGTCTGCCGTCGCAGGGCAAAGCTCTGAGGCTTTCTGAGGCGTTCGGGGGCTCTCGGAGGAATTCGAAAGATGACGGAGATTTCTGCAGACGTTCAGAGGCCCTCGGAGGCTTTCGAAAGTTCCCCACAAATCCTGCAGGCTTTCGGAGGTTTCGATCGGTTTCCTGAGGCTTCTGGAGGCCTTCGGAGGCTTCCGAAAGGTGTTCCGAGATTTCCGAATGTGCCCAGAGGCTTCCTCGGACGCTTTCGGTGAAAGTTTCTGGGGACTCACGCTGCCAGCACTGTCGGCAGGAAGCCCACTTCCAGAGTGCCGGCTCGCTCCCGCCGCGCGTCGCGCTGCCAGCGTTGTCGGCAGGGAGCCCACTTCGATCGTCTCCTGCACCTCCTCCGTCCCCAACGTACTTCTCCTTCTCTCCATGATGGGGAAAAGGGGACGAGGAGGAGGAGAGAGGAAGAGGAAGGGGGAGAGAGGGAGAGGGGCGACGACGACGACGCCGACGACAACAGAATAGACGACGAACCAACGGCGACGCCGCCGACGCCAATGACGACACCGTCGCCGACGACGACGCCGACGACGACGCCGCCGACGCGCCGACGCCGACGCAGACGCCGAACACGACGACGACGACGACGACGACGACACCGACAACGCCGACGACGACGACCCCGACGATGATGACGACGACGACGACGACGAAGACGACGACGACAACGATAACGACGACGGCAACAACGACAACGATGCCGACGACGACGACAACGATGGTGACGACGACGACGACGACGCCGAGACGACGACGCCGACGACAACAACGACGACGACTACTCGACGGCGGCGCCAACAACGCCGACGACAACGACGCCAACGCCGACGCCGACACCGACGCCAACGCCGACAACGACGACGACGACGACGACGTTGACACCGCCGACGCCACCGTAGCCGCCGACGACGACGACGATGACGACGGCGACACCGACGCCGACGCCGACGCCGACGCCGACGACGATGGCGACGACGACGACGACGACGACGACGACGACGACGACGACGACGCCGACGCCGACGCCGACGACGACGACGACAAGGACGACGACAACAACGACGACGACAACGAAAACAACGCCGACGCCGACGCCATCGACGCCGCCGCCGCCGCTACCGCCAACGACGTCGACGACGACGACGACGACGACGACGACGACGACGACAACAACAACGACGGAGACGACGACGACAACGACGGGGACGACGACGACGACGACGACGACGACGACGACGACGACGACGACGACATGATGGCGGCGCCAACAACTCCGACGGCGACGACGCCGACGATGATGACGACGCCGACGCCAACGACGAATCCGACGCCGACGCCAACGCCGACAACGACGACGACGACGACGACGACGTTGACGCCGCCGACGCCGCCGCCGCCGCAAACGACGACGACGACGCCGCCGCCGCCGCCGACAACGACGCCGACTTCGACGCCAACGATGACGACGACGACGCCGACAACGACGACGACAACGACGACGACAACGACGACGACAACAACGACGACGCCGCCGCCACTGCCGACGCCGACGCCGACGCTGCCGTCGACGACGTCGACGACGACGACGACCACGACGACAACGACGACGACGCCGACGATGACAACGACGACGCCGACAACGACAACGACAACAACGTTGACGCCGCTGGCGCCGCCGCCAGCACCGACGACGACGCCGCCGACGCCGACGCCGACGCCGTTGCCAACGATGACGACGCCAACAATCCGACAACGACGACAAAAACAACGACGACGACGACGACGACGCCGCCGACGCCGACGCCGCTGCCAACAACGACGCCGACTCCGACGCCGACGAGGACGACGACGAAGACGACGACGACGACGACGACGACGACTCGACGGCGGCGCCAACAACGCCGACGACAACGACGCCGTCGCCGACGACGACACCGACGACAACGCCTACGCCGACAACGACGACAACGACGACGACGACGTCGACGCCGACAACGACGACGCCGACGCCGCCGCCGCCGCCGCCGACGACGACGCCGACAACGACGACGACAACGGCGACGCCGACGATGACGACGCCGACGCCGACGATGACAACAGCGACGACTACGCCGACGCCGAAGCCGCCCCCGCTGCCGCCCCCCACGCCGCCAGCGACGATGACAGCGACGACGACGACGACGACGACGACGACGACGACGACGACGACGACGACGACTCGATGGCGGCGCCAACAACGCCGACGAGAACATCGCCGACGACGACGCCGACGCCGACGATGACAACGACGACGCCGACGCCGCCGACGACGACGACGACGTTGACACCGCCGCCGCCGACGACGCCGACGACGACGACGCCGACGCCGACGCCGACGCGGACGCCGACGATGACGCCGACGACGCCGACGACGACGACGGCGACGACGACGTTGACGCCGCCGACAACGACGACGACAACGCCGACCCCGACGCCGCCGCCGCTACCGCCGCCGCCGCCGACGAGGAAGACGACGCCGACGACGACGACGACGACGACGACGACGAAGACGAAGACGACGACGGCGGCGCCAACAACGACGCCGACGCCGACGCCGACGCCGACGACGACGCCGACGCCAACAACGACGCCGACGCCAACGCCAAAAACGACGACGATGACGACGACGACGACGCCAACGACGCCGCCGCCGCCGACGCCGACGACGACGACGACGACGACGACGACGACGCTGACGCCAACACCGACGCCGACGATGACGATGGCGCCGCCGACAACGACGACGACGACGACGACGACGACGACGACGCCCACGACGACGCCGCCGACGCCGACGCCGCCGCCGCTGCCGCCGCCGCCGCCGCCGCTGCCGCCGACAAAGTCGCCGACGACGTCGGCGACGACGACGACGACGACGACGGGGACGACGACGACTCGCAACGGGGACGACAACGATGACGACGCGGGGCGCCAACAACGCCGCCGAAAACGACGACAACGCCGACGTTGACGCCGACGCCGACGCCGACGGGGACGACAACGACGACGATGACGCTGACGACGACGACGACGACGACGACGACAACGACGACGACGACGACGACGCCGCCGACGCCGCCGCCGCCGCCGCTGCCGCCGCCGCAGCCGCAGCTGCCGCAGTCGTCGATGACGTCGACGCCGACGACGACGACGATGCCGCCAACGCCGACGACGACGACGACGACGACGACGACGACGTCGACGACGACGACGCCGACGCCGACGACGACGACGACGACGACGACGACGACGACGACGACGACAACGACGACGACGACAACGACAACGCCGACGCCGACGCCGCCGCTGCTGCCGCTGCCGCCGCCGACGTCGACGTCGACGACGACGACGACGACGACGACGACAACGACGACGACTTTGACACCGCCGACGCCGCCGCCAACGCCGCCACCGCTTACGACGCCGACGACGACGCCGCCGCCGACGATGACGCCGACGACGCCGACGACGACGGCGACGACGATGTTGACGCCGCCGACGACGACGACGACAACGCCGACGCCGACGCCGCCGCCGCCGCAGCTGTCGACGACGAGGACGACGAAGACGACAACGACGACGACAACGACGACGACGACGACGGGGACGACGACGACGACGACGACGACGACGACGACGACGACGACGACGACAACGACGCCGACGCGACGACGACGCCGACGATGACTCCGACGACGCCGACGACGACGGCGTCGACGATGCTGACGCCGCCGACGACGACGACGACAACGCCGACGCCGACGCCGCCGCCGCAGCTGTCGACGACGAGGACGACGAAGACGACAACGACGACGACAACGACGACGACGACGACGGGTACGACGACGACGACGACGACGACGACGACGACGCCGACGACGACGACGACGCCGCCGCCGCCGCTGCCGCCGCCGCAGCCACCGCTGCCGCCGACAAAGTCGTCGATGACGTCGACGCCGACGACGACGACGATGCCGCCAACCCCGACGACGACGACGACGACGTCGACGACGACGACGATGACGCCGACGACGACGACGACGACGACGACGACGACGACGACGACGACGACAACGACGACGACGACAACGCCACGCCGACGCTGCGCTGCCGCTGCCGCTGCCGCCGCCGACGTCGACGACGACGACGACGACGACGACGACGACGACGACGACAACGACGACGACTTTGACACGCCGACGCCGCCGCCAACGCCGCCACCGCTTACGACGCCGACGACGACGACGACGCCGACGCCGACGCCGCCGCCGACGATGACGCCGACGACGCCGACGACGACGGCGACGACGATGTTGACGCCGCCGACGACGACGACGACGACAACGCCGACGCCGACGCCGCCGCCGCCGCAGCTGTCGACGACGAGGACGACGAAGACGCCAACGACGACGACAACGACGACGACGACGACGACGGGGACGACGACGACGACGACGACGACGACGACGACGACGACGACGACGGGGACGACGACGACGACGACGACGACGACGACGACGACGACGACGACGCCCACGACGACGACGACGACGACGACGACGACGGCGGCGCCAACAACACCGACGACAACGACGCCGACGCCGACAACGACGCCGACGCCAACAACGACGCCGACGCCGACGCCGACGCCAACGCCAAAAACGACAACGATGACGACGACGACGACGCCGACGACGACGCCAACAACGCCGCCGCCGACGCCAAAAACGACGACGATGACGACGACGACGCCGACGACGATGCGACGACGACTACGACGACGACGACGACGACAACGACGACGACGGCGCCGACGCCGACACCGCCGCCGCTGCCGCCGCCGCCGCCGCTGCCGCCGACAAAGTCGTCGACGACGTCGACGACGACGACGACGACGACGACAACTCGACAGCGGAGCCCCAACAACGCCGCCGACAACGACAACGACGCCGACGTTGACGCCGACGCCGACGACGACGACGACGACGACGACGACGACGACGACGACGGGGACGACAATGACGACGATGACGCCGACGCCGACGACGACGACGACGACGACGACGACGACGACAATGACCACGACGACGACGACGACGACGCCGCCGCCGCCGCTGCCGCCGCCGCCGCCGCTGCCGCCGACCAAGTCGTCGATGACGTCGACCACGACGACGACAACGACGACGACGGGGACGACAACCACTCGACAGCGGGGTGCCAACAACGCCGCGGACAACGACGACGACGCCGACGTTGACGCCGACGACGACGACGACGACGACGACGACGACGACGGGGACGACGACGACGACGGGGACGACGACGACGACGACGACGCCGAAGCCGACGACGACGACGACAACGACGACGACGGCAACGCCGACGCCGACGCCGCCGCCGCTGCCGCTGCCGCCGACGCCGCTGCCGCCGACGACGTCGACGACGACGACGACGACGACGACGACGACGACGACGACCACGGCGGCGGCGGCGACGACGACGCACGCGCCGATGGCGAAGACCACGGCGGCGGCGGCGACTGCGCGAGGCCTTCGGACCCGCCCCCACCGGGCTCCGCGGCGCCCGCCGCGGCGCCAGACGCGGAAAACAGCCGCAGGCTCCGGGCCAAGTGGTGCCTCCTCGCGGGCGACCGGCGATCTACTCCTCCTCCCCCGAAGGGTCTCCACAACGGCTGGCCGAATCCCGTTCTCATTATCCTCCCTCCTTCTTATCCCCCTCCCCTCCACTCCCCCAAAGGCGGGGGACGGCGGTGATTCGCCGTAGGCGTCTCCGTAGGCGTCCTCGTAATCATCACCATCATCATCAGCATCATCATCATCAGCATTATTCCCATCACCATCATCATCAGCAGCAGCATCATGATCGACATCATGATCATCAATACAATCATCATCAGCATCATCGTCATCATCATCAGAGTCATCATCTTCGTCGTCGTCATCATCATCCTCATCATCATCCTCATCCTCATCATGATAACAACATTATCCAAATGGGCTTGCCCTATAGGAGTTCTAACTCAAACCCTACTAATTGGTCCGTTGTCCCCCCCCCCAATTCCTATGCCCCGCCTCTGGTTCCTATGGCTATGCCTATGCCTATGCCTATGCCCCCCCTAACTCCTATGCCTACGCCTATGCCTATGCATATGCCTACTCTCGAGGGGGCTCTCGAGGGGGCTCTGGGGCGTTTCGAAGGCTCTCGAAAGGTTTTCGTATTCGTTCAGAGGCTCTCGAGAAAGGTCCTCCGAGAGATCTGGAGACGTTCCGAGGTTCTCGGGAGACTTCGGAGGCTTCTGCAGAACGACGATGACGTCAAGATCGTCGTCGAGATCGCCGCCATCGCCGAGAACTACCAGCCAGACATATTGACGGATGGCGCGCCTAGGGATGGGCGGATGGCGGCTAGCCGGGATTCCCTTGACCAAAGCAGGAGGGAGGAGGGAGGAGGGAGGAGACCCAAAAAAGCAGCAGGAGAAGCAGGACAATGAGTGGTGGAACGGGCGGGAGGAGGGGGAAGTGTGGATTGGGGGAGAGGCAGAGTGAGAAGGGAGGCGGTTTTAGCGGGTGCTTCCTGCAAAACAGCAGAAGGAGGAGGTTGTCGCGGGTGCTGAATGTCTTCGAGTCCTCCGTGGTTCTGGTGAGATACCTTCGCCAGCCCCTGGATGGTGGAGGAGCAAAGACACCGATCAAACGCCTCCCCGTTACCGCAGGCGAGCGAAGGGGTATTTCTCTATGCGCTGCCATCCCTCAGCGCAAAGCTACAGCACCAACAGCGCGGCCGCCGGCCAAAGCTAAAGTGGGCTCCATGCGTGCACAAACAAATGCGACACACGCAGCCGCAGATCAGCGCTTGTCCTTTTCCCCTCTCCCTCTTCCCCCTCCCTAACTTGTATCTTGCCGAGGCACCGCGCCACAGGCTGGCGCATGGCTGTGCTGCTGCTGCACCGCGCCTCCGCCCAGGAGAACATCCACATCCGCGACAAGGCGGCCCAGCACGCGGCGCGGCGGGCGCGCGCACGAGGAGGACGACCTCCGGCAGGCCGAGAGCGCCTTCTGGGTGAAAGAGGAGGCGAAGGCCTTCGTGCGGGCCGCCGCCAACGGCGCCCTGCACAACGCCGCGCCATAGGCTGAGCCAGACTGCCAGGTGACAACAGACCGCGAGCGTGCCAAAAGAAATGCGGGCGTGCAACTGGCCCGCCGTTGGTCCGGCCCAGATCCCCCACAAGCTGCCTGCTGGGGGGTTCTCCTCCTCCTCCTCCTCCTCCTCCTCCTCCTCCTCCTCCTCCTCCTCCTCCGCCTCAACCCACCTCCCATCAGCAGCGTTCTCCACCTCCCCCACCAGATCCCTGCCTCCTTCTCCTCCTCCTCCATCACCCCCACCCGATCCCTGCCTCCTCCTCCTCCTCCTCCTCCTCCTCCTCCTCCTCCTCCTCCTCCTCCTCCTCCTCCTCCTCCTCCTCCTCTCCTCCTCCTCCTCCTCCTCCCTCCTCCTCCTCCTCCTCCTCCTCCTCCTCCTCCTCCTCCTCCTCAAACCCACCTCCGATCAGCAGCTTTCTCAACCTCCCCCACCAGATCCATGCCTCCTCCTCCTCCTCCTCCTCCTCCTCCTCCTCCTCCTCCTCCTCCCCCTCCTCCTCCTCCTCCATCACCCCAACCAGATCCCTGCCTCCAACTCCTCCTCCTCCTCCTCCCTCCTCCTCCTCCTCCTCCTCCTCCTCCTCCTCCTCCTCCTCCTC